TCCTTGGAAGGAAGATTGGGCAGTCTACTTCTGTAGAGATACTGCCTTGTAAACCCAAGGAAGTGTCACTATGAGTTGGATCTGACTCGATGGCAGTGAGTTTGGCTGTTTTGGTTTTAAGACTTGCTTTGTGGCCTAAAATATGGTCTATCATAGAGAATGTTCCATGTGCACTGGAAAAGAATGTGTATTATGTCATTGTTAGGTGAAGTGCTCTGTAGATGTCTATTAGGTCAAGTTGGTGAATTATATATTGTTTAGTTCTTCTGTATCTTTGTTGAGTTTCTTTTCAGTTGTTCTATCTTTGAAAGTGGTATATTGAAGTCTCCTACTATGACTGTAGAGTCATCTATTTGCCTTTTCAGTTCTGTTAAAGTCTGATTTATGTAGGTTGGGGCTCTGTCATTGAGTGCATTGATGTTTATTATGGTTATGTCCTCTCGTTCAATCAATCCTTTAATCATTATGTAATGTCCTTTCTTTTCTCTTATGGTGGTTTTTGTCTCAAAGGCAATTTTATCAGAAATTAATATTGCCACTTCTGCTCTTTTTTGATTGCCACTTCCTTGATATATCTCTTTCCAACCTTTGATTTTTAGTCTATTTTTGTCTTTGTCTCTAAGGTGTGTCTCCTGTAGGCAGCACATTGATGGGTTGTGTTTTCTTATCCACTCTGCAACTCTCCTCATCTCTTGAGTGGTGCATTTAATCCATTTACATTCAGTGTAATTATCAACAAGTATGAATTAGATACTATCATTTTGTTATGTGTTTTTTTCATGGTGCTGCTGATTTATTTGTTCCATATAATTTTCTGTGCAGAGCTCATTTTATATACAAATTGTGTTATCATTTCCTTCATTGCTATTGTTTTACTATTGCTCAATATATGTGCTTGTCCTCTTCTTTATTTTGATGTGAAGGTTTATCATGTTTCTTTGACGTTACCATGTGATTTATAATTTTCTTCCCAAATTTAGAACATTCCATTCTATCTTGCAGTTGTCATGTTTTCCTTACCATTTAGAAGTTCTGTAACTACACTATTTTCCCCCTCTTTTTGGTTTGTAGTTGTCGTCTTTTGCCAATTAATGTCTCTGGTTCCCTTTTTACAATCTTGTGAGGTTTTCTTTGGATACTTCCATAACTGGGTTGGTTTCTGGGTTAAGTCATCATGTGTGTTAATAGTCATTTGTTGTTTGCTGTTGTTTGTTCCCTGTCCAAAAGACTTCCTTTAGCATCTGTATAAGGTTGGTCTGGTTTTAACAAATTCCCTTAATTTCTGCTTATCTGGA